CCAAGGTCCCAGACACAGGAGTGGGTGGATGAACCCAAGTGTGCAGCCCACGTCTACTCTCGCCACCACCAATGCTTGCCTGGCAACACAGGTGGCGTCTGGTGGCCGGACAACAAGCTCTCTTGTTACCATGCACCCAACCAACTTCAGAGGCCCATGGAGTTGTCCCCTCCAGCCTCATCCCCACACGGCTCAGCAAGGCAACCCGCTCCTTCTCACCCCAGGGCCAGACACCATCTGAGCCAGCCCCCAAGACACACAGCATGACTGGCACCCACACCAAGCCACGTGTTCTGCTGGGGTCAGGGAAAATGATGCCAGCAGGAGCAGAAGGCAGAACATGCTGCATGCCTGAGACTGGCCTACCAGAGACAGCCAATAAACACAGCTCACCAAAGAAGGCTTGCAGAAGACGAAGGGGCCAAGCCCAGGCTGCAGGTGGCCAGAAGTGGGCCCCAACCAGGGATACACACAAGGCAGCGTGTGTGGGGCCCATACCATTTGTGCCCAGATCCTCCTGTGAGCAAACCAGGCAAGAGCCCAGGTCTCCAAGCCTGTCCTGATCACAGTATGTTAGTGGGGATGGTAACAGTGTCCATCCAAGGTTGCTGCACGCAGCAGGGAGCTGCATGGGAGACATCCCCAAGAGCGTTCAGAGTAACCAAAAGGCCTTCCCTCCTTCCCCTAGCCCCTTTCCCTCAGGCCATCTCCCCAAATTACACAGTAGGTCTGCGAGCAGCCAAAGTAAGTTCCAGCCCTGGTCTAAAGGCCCTCCCCAAAATCACTCACTCCAGAACTTTCTTTGCTACTGAGACTCGGGTGTTTCTTGGGAAGGATGAAGGTGGGCAGAGTTGGCAGAGCCCGAAGCTCAGTCCGTCTCCAAGGTTCTCCTTGCCCAGCTGGTTTGTTCCCAAGAAAGCAGCTAAGTAGAGCTCCCAAGCCTGGGAGGGCCACCAGTCGGGCAGCCCCAAAGCCCCAGTGCCTTCACTTTCTGTCAGCTGCTCAGCTGCCTGCTTCCAGTGTCCAGGCCAAAGCTTAGCTCCCCACACAGTGCAGGCTGGTTTGAACCAGCCAGGCTCAGAGGCCTGGTCACCAGCAGCTCTGGCCAGGAGCAGAGCTGTAGCTCTCTGTGCTGGGCCAGCTCAGCCAGGGAATGGCGTGGATTGGGAGCCATTACCTTTTGGCCCATCATCATGTCAGGTCCAGCTCCAGCCCATCCACAGGAGAAGAAAGGCAAAGACAAGGAAACCCCTGAATTCCCCTGAGACACCTCCTTCACCCCCCTCCACCACCATTGGCTTGGCTCACTGGGCTCTTACTCAAGGCCCAGGAAGGGAAGAGTTCTTCCACCTGGGAGGATCAAAAGGTTGTGGGCAAATCCTGAATGCCCAGGTACTCTCAAAGCCAAAGCCCAGGGGTAGCTGTTGGCTCTGGGGGCCAGTAGCTGTGAGAAGCGCTCCCCCAGCTGGCCCCAGGCTGACACCCAGGAGGGTGGGTGAGAGCCAGAGCCCTCTCCCCATCCTGGCCTACTGGGGTCCTCCAAGCAACCTCATGCCAGCGCAGGAAAGACTTGGAGGTCCGGACAGTGGGGAAATGGCAACCCAGACCGGGCCTACACTGTTTACTACAAAAGCAGCCCCCTCTGCCAGGCCCCTAGTATAAATAGAAGCAGAAGAAGGCCCCATCGGCCACTTCCAACTCCTGTAAGTGCAAAGAAAGCTAACAAGGAACCTGCTTCATTTCTCAAAGGAGCTGGGGACTAAGGTGGAGAAAGAAACAAAGAGGAAGGTCGGACACTGCATATTGACTCCGGGTGTCAATCAGAGGTCTGCCCCTGCTGCTACCTGGGAGGAAGAATGTTAGACCCACCTGGGTCAGGTACCCTCTCTGACAGCCCTGAGCTGGTCAGCACTCCGACTGCAGCCCCACGCTGCATCTTCAGATGGGGAAGAGGGCTGGACAGACCTCCCAGAACACTGGTAGCTGGCGTGGGTGAGGTGAGGTGGGCTGGGCTGGGGTTAGAGAAGGCACCCCGATGGCAGGGCTGGTTGCAGGTGGTCCATCCAGGCCAGGGATGAGGGGAAGGGGCGGGGAGGGGCAAAGACAAGAAGGGGATTCTTTCACCGGGGAGAGTATAGAGAAGGCACCCCGATGGCAGGGCTGGTTGCAGGTGGTCCATCCAGGCCAGGGATGAGGGAAAGGGGCGGGGAGGGGCAAAGACAAGAAGGGGATTCTTTCACCGGGGAGAGTAAAAAAGACTACACAGGAACTCAAGAGTGGAGGAATAAGTCTGGGGGTGTGGCTGCCAGAAAAACAGAAAAGGAGCGCTCGAGCTAAGAGGACTCTGAGCCCGGGAAGCTAGGAGTCGGGGAGCATGCGCTGGGGTGGAGGGAGAGGAGCTTGTGCCACTGTCACCAGCCCCCAGCTGGGGTCAGCTCCAGGTGGTGGTTGGGGAGCGCGGGGGACGGACCGTGAAAACAGCCGGAAAAAGCAAGGGGGGCTCACGAGGAGGGAGGCTGAGGTCGGGTGGTACGGGGGACCAGGACACGGAGGAGAGGTGCTCGGA